ATAAATTATTTATATATAGTAATAATCTATAATTAAAATAAATCTCATCTTCATATGATATATTTAGAAGTTATAAAGCTATATGTAATTTTTATTTAAAAAATTATTCTTTAAATTTTACTACATGATATATTATAAAAAAGAATTAATAAAAAGTCAGAAAGATAAAATTATTATTACAAAAAAACTTGATCACACATATACTGAGAAGATTATTCTATAATTCATATATTAGAAATATATGAGCTTATAAAATCATCTAAAAAATAATTAGATTATCTATAAAGAGGAGATGAAAGAAATATTGGAAGATTTTTTTTTAATTAATTTTATTTATTTATAGAATAATTTAGATATTTATATTATAATTCTAATATTTTGTATGATTTAAAAAAGAGTTTAATGACAAGAATTTTTATTTTGGATTACTGAAGTCTTGAGATAGTTATATGTAGATTTATTATAAATTAGTAAATAATCTGATCATTTTTTAGATAATTTTTTAAGCTTGTGTGCTCCTAATATGCAGATTACAAAACAAACTATAGTCTTAAAAATCTTAATATATGTGTAACCAAGTTTTTTTGTAATAATAATTTCATCTTTCTAACTTTCTGTTAATTCTTTTTCATGATATATCATGTGATAAAATTTAAAGAGTGATTTTTTGAGAGAAAATTATATATAATTTTATAATATCTAAATATATTATACAAAGATGAGATTTATTTTGGTTATAGATTATTATTATATGTAAATAATTTATTATAAATAATTATCAAAAAAATATAAGATCTAATAATATATATTAATTTAAAAATATATAAAATATCTAATATTTCTTTCCATTTCCTATATCTTCTGTAATTTTATTTTATTTTTTATATAAATTTCTTATTAATAAAGTTTTTTGAAATATTATTATCTAGTAATATTTATATTAGCTTATTATTTACTTAACTATTAAATTTTAGTAATTTCTTATAATTATTTTTTAAATATATAAATTCTATTTTTTTATATAATTAGAAAAATTCTTCTTAAGAGTTTTTTATATTATAATTAATTTAGAAATATCATTTCAATTAATTATAATTTGTAATAGCTAATTAGAGAATTATAATTAATTATAACTTATGATAACTAATTAAAGAATTATAATTAATTATAATAGCTAATCAGAAAATTATAATTAAGTTATAAATTAGATATATAAGAAATTAATAATAATTAATTTAATTTATTTATAATTCTATTTTTAATTATTACTTATATTTAGTCTTATTTATTTATTATAGCTATATATATCATACTTAATTTATAATTTAATTAAATTAATAATTTTTTAATTAGTTATTATTAATTTTTCTTTCTTTAATTATAATTATTTTAATATTTCAAAAATATTTTTTATAATTTTTTAAGATTTTTCTTAAGTAAATTAGATAAAATATTATATAAAAAATAATTTATAATTAGTATAGCAAGAAAATATTATAAATAGAGAGTTAAAAAGTAATCAAAAAGAATAATTAAGTTTGATAAAAGTAATTAATTACTAAGTTAAGAGTAATTAACTAGTATTTTTTTATAATAAATATATATAATTATCATATATCTTATTTTTATTTTCTTTTTACTTTATTAAGAGAGTAATTTTATTAAAAGTAAAACTTATATAAATTATCTTATTAAAAAAATAATAGTTATCTTAATCTTTTAAAGTTAAAAAATGAATAATTATCATGAATATAATTACTATTATCATTTTAAATCACTTATATATATATAAGCTTAAAATAATAATAATCTTTTTGATACTCTTTTTATAAATAATAAATTAAAATTTAAAATAATATTAAATAAACTAATTCAAGTTAGATCTGATCAAGTTAATAAATATTAAAATAAAGAGATAATATTAAAGATTAATTAATATTTTAAATCTATTTTAATTAGTCAGATCTCAAGTAAAAGAATTATATCAATTAGTTAATAACTTATTTTTAGTAAATATAACTAGAAAAAATATCTTAACAATAAAATATTAATTATAATTATAATTATAAAAATACTTATCTTATAATCTTATTTAGATAATCATTCTTATTCATAACTTATATAAGATTACTATATTCAACTAATAAAAATCATATTATATCTATTAATTAAGAATCAGTATTACAATTAGTATTATAATCAGAATTTCTATTCCAATTCTATCTTAATTTTATTATCCAATATCTTCTTTACTAATCTCTTATATAAAAAAAGTATAGTTCTAATTTAGTTAAGAGATACAAAAGAAGAAGAATCAGAAGAAAAAGAAGTTTAAATCCTTATAATTCTAGACTTATTCCAATTATCACCCTAGCAAAATCAAGAAGAAATAGCAAGGAAACTGGATTATTTTGCAACATGTTTGGTATTATAAAGTACATATAGTTATTCTATGAAAAAGTGAGTTTTATTAAAATGCGATTTTTAAAATCAGCGTGTACACGCAATTGTTACATGACCTAATTGTTTACAAGTGAGGTTCCTGCAAGTGGTAATCGAGGACCTGTATTATTTCTTTGAAAGACTTGGGCCTCTAATTCGTCGCTTTCTATTTTCTCAATTATATGGATGATCTCTCGAATTGCATTCTACAAGATAACAGAAAAATATCAAAGCAGATAAATACAAAGGGTAATAGAAATATACAGCTCAACACTAAGGTATTACCTTCAATTCCAACATTGTAACTATAGACAAAATTAATTCGCAAATGCCTTCAATATATATAGGAGCTTCTAATTGTGCTTTTTTAGTTAATCGCGCAATAACTCCTCCGGGGCGATCCATAATGTAAATAGCGCCTTTGTTTTCTATGTAATTATAAAATTAATGACAATGTATCATATAATATATATACAGTATAACGTTCACTTACTGAAAAGTTGTATTCCAAATGTACAAAGACTCTCGTAATTTTCGATTGTGGTTGGTGGAAGTGATTCAATTATTAAATCGAACATATCTTTCATAAGTTTTAATAGTTTCATTCTATCTCCTAAATATTTTCTATCGTGAATATCTCCTGTTCTAGTGACCTCACCAGCTAGTATTTCTCTTGAACTATTACGAAGTTTTAGTAATATGTCAATCTTCCTGCCCTATTATTATTAAAAAAGAAATTAATTCGAACTATCTACATGCACAATATTACAGTTTTAAAGGTTCATTACATGAATAACGGATTTTCCAATTTTTCTTTTTTTGTTTTTACGCATTTTCGATGCATACGAACCGCCCTCTGATCTATAAAAATGAAAAATATGTACTTAATCACTAATATTATAAGAATATTATAACAATTTTTGTTTGAACACTGACGACATACTTTCCAATTTTTGTTTCTTCAATGTCCTTTAATGCCATATCGACAATAAAAGTCCATACATGACTCACAATCCATGCTTCCAAATTATCATCCGCTAACGCATTCACGCCTTGTTCCCATTCAATAACACTTTATCAATAAAGAAAAGAAATCAGTCGCGAATTAAAAATATTATATAAATGATGAGAGTTAACTCACAATTTATTGAATACTAAGTGAATCCACTCCAGATCATAATGTAACTTTGGATTATAGGTCTCCATGTTTTTCAAATATGGTTCCATGACGATTTGTCGAAGATCGCTGACATTTTTCTATAGAGATTTAGAAGATTTATGAATAAATGTCTCAATTCGGACAACCTTTATCAAACAGAATACCTTGTAATATTTCATGACATATTTTTTAATATCATCTTGTACGGCCGGAAAAGACTTTTTACTAGTATTTAAAATTGTCTCCTTTTCCTCAGGACTAAACAGATCCATAACTTCTTGACAATCAGTGTCTAATATAAAAGAATGTGCAAGTCTTAATGAAATATTTAGACAAAGAAATGATTAGTCATTACACATATATTTAGTAACCAATATGATCAATGCAATGAATGCAGTATATCTACGTTTCAGAATGGTGAGCCACTGCCCAATCATATAAGACATCTTCTACAAATCTACCCGAAGGAAGTTTCCATTTGTTATCCGCATTTATTGCCTTAAATCTCGAAACAAAATTATCAATCAACTTTTTCTCCAACTTCATTTTTTCCTTGGCCTTCTTGTCTTTGTTGTCATCTTCATCGACATCTTCGTCGATATCTTCGTCATCATCTTCATCAATATCTTTATCGACATCTTCGTCGACATCCTCGCCTTCATTCTCGTCGTCATAGTCGTCATCTTTGTTGACATCCTCGTCTTCATTCTCGTCGTCACTTTCGTCGTAGTCATCAATTTCATCATATTCATCATCATAAACCTAACATTGGAAAAATTAGAAATGACGAAACAGGAAATATTGACTAACAGCATTTTACATACCTCTTCATGGGTTCGCTTGCTGGTATTATTCACTCTTTTTGAATTTTCGGCATAATTTATTCTGTTTATTTTTCTCGGTGTTCTTCTGAGAAGCGGATTGCTGTTGGCTTCCACTTTTCCCCCGTTAACTGTTCCGTTAACTCCATTTACAGTTCTTATTCGCTGGTGTAGGTGAACTTGTTTGCGTGTACGTTCCTTTTCCCAGGATTTCGCGATATTACGATCTGGCCTAGGATTCTAGCACAGAAAATTTGAAAATTAGTAGAACTTCTACTCATATTTTAATTTTCATCCCATTCAAGCATCAGGTAACCGAGCAGGCCACCTGACCCCAATGGGCCCAGTGTTAGATCAGCGAACAGCCTTGAAGACAAGTAACCGAGCAGATTACTTGTGCTCTAACACTGGTTTGTGGCTCAGCGAACAGCCTTGAATGACAAAAGACCGATCAGGCCTACGATTGTCACGCCACCATTGTAGCGGAAAGTTTTTACTTGCCTTACGATATCTGTCAAGAAGCTGAGATGCTTTTTGTTGTCTCTTTCCTCGTCCCATATCAATGATTTCAAGATCTTTAAGATAAGCGTCTATTTTCCTATCGAATGGTTCTATTTCGCATTCATTTAAAAATCCGACTATTTTCCAATCTTTATATTTGCGATTGAAATATTTATGTATTTTATTAATGGACATCGCGACGGACCGCGTTTACAAGCTAAAAAGCAAAAAAATATATTGGATAAAAATCACATGTCATGACCGGATCCCGTGACTGATCAAATTTTCACTTTGCATATGACAAGGACACGAATATTTCGCTCATTAAATAACTATTGTTTCGTACAGATTGCCACGAAATTTATCTGCATCGCAACATAAACTTTCAACCTTCTTCTCTAGAGTTTGAAAAGGATAAGTTCAGATAACGGACAACCAAATGATACACATTGGGGGATTGCATGCTTCGTGCAATTAATAATCATATCCAGGATATTGAAACTGGATCATAATAATGTTTTAGTTAGATAATTTATTTATAGTGTAGGCAAATAGTATAGGAACAATAGATAGATTTGACTTTCTTTTCGATTTTTATTACAATAAATAAAGCAAAGGCGTATTAACGCGATTTTTACACACCAATATTTTTTCGTGTGATTAACCTTTTGAATATATTCATATATTAAATAAAATAAATGGCAAGCGCACAATCCACAGTTGATTCATTGAAGGAATTGAATTCTAGATTTATAGCCGAAATCGATAAACTTAGAAAAGAGAATGCTGATATCAAATCTGAAAATATAAAACTAAAACAAGATAAAGAAGAAGTTGAAGCCAGATTCACGAATCTAGAGCAGAGAGATAAAGAAAAGACCAACCTTATTGCTAAACTGGAACAGAGCGATAAAGAAAAAACTATCATAATTATAAAAAATTATTGATAAATTCTTAAATATTTAATTATATTTAAATTATCTTATTCAAATTCTTGTAAAATAATCAATATTTAATTTTAATTTTAAAATAAATTAATTTAAAAAAAATTAAATATTTCTATTATAATGAGATAATTTTAAAAAAAAGTAATAATCATAAAAATTCAATCTAATATAAATAAAATATATCATATTAATATAAATAACTAAATATATTCTTGTCTAAGATATTTTTATAATTATTATTTTATCTATAAGTATTATATTTATGAAGATAAATTTTATCAAAAATATAATATATAATAGGTTTTAAGAATAAAAACTGAATTATTTATAAAGATAAAGAGAATTATAATTACTTTATATTAATATAAAATAAAAATAAAAATAAATGAAAAAAGTTTGTAATTATAAAAATATAATAAAGAAGATATTTATAATTAAAATAATTATAATTATAGATTTAATATATTTATTAAACTTTCTAATAGTATCTTTTTAATTATTAAATAAACAAGAGATATATAATAGTT